ATGTATTCTTTGTTAGTGTTTTGCATTGTTTAGTAATATTAGTTTTATTCGTATAAGTGGCGGCGCTAACATAAGTTACCTAACTTGAGCCCGTCGTCACTTTGTCCTGTGCCCTTATTTTGTTTATTGTATGCTGAATAAGAAAATTATTCATTGTTGTTATTGTATGCTGAATAAAAAAAGAATTCGGCAAAAAAGAGAGTAAAATTGGCCAAGGGAGTCCAGCCGCGGGAAGGTTGTTTCTTTCCCTCCTGCGCGGCCAGTCAAACCTACAAGGTGGCCAATCTCCCCTGGCAAATATTCTCCTATATGTAGCCAGCGTAGTTAGTCTGGTAGAGACTATTACAAACTCCAAGCAGTTCTTCCGGTAACCAAACATAGTCATATTTGGGATCACATTCTTAATAACTGACATTGGTTTTCTTATTGTTTGTAACTATTATGAATCCTAACAATACACATGTAACAAGACTTTCAATAAATTCTATTTGGGACTGTGATAGCTCAGTATTGTCAGTTAACAAATCTTATATAGAAACACTCTACATTTGGAACCGCATATTTCCCTATGATGTAACAATGCCTAGTACGTGTATGTATGTCACAATTACACTATATTACAAACTAGTTTCTGACTCTGCTGACTCTTGGCACACGCGGTGTTCTTTGTCATTAAACCCTTTAAGACTCTGTCTTCTCCAGTTCGATCTTCTCCGTCTTCGCCCGGCACCTGTTGCCGTCTTCTCCCCTGGATAAGGTGTCTTGTCACGCCCGAGGATTCCTTTGAAGACATCCTTGGGGCTTGACCCCGCGTGACCTCCACTCGCTCGACTGTCGCCATCTTGTGACCTCTGACCTGGGGATATATTGTTGTTTTTCCCGCTTGCCTGTGGCGACATCGGGGCTGATTAGCGGCTCTCACGACATCGTGCCGCGCGCGTGACACCTTGGAGTAGCCTGGTTGCCAGACATCGCACAGGGCGCGTACACCTTACGGTAGCCTGGGTTCCAGACATCGTGCAGGGCGCGTGACACATTCAAGTAGCCTGGGTACCAGACATCGCGCAGGGCGCGTGACACCTTGCTATAGCCTAGATGCCAAACTGGTCGGTCAGGGGCTAAGAAAAAGACTTTCATCATTCAAGTACACCGTCCTCATCTAGTGAAACAGCTTTTTGCTGCTAGTAAAATATCCTTATATACATACTCCTAGACACTCATAGACTCTAGAGCCGAGGAGCTGCACTGTATGTGTTGACCCAGGAAAGAGTCTGGTATCCAGGCTAGCCTTGCCGCTGCCTGTTGCTGCCACTGGTGCTGCCCTTCTCGCGGACGATTTACGCACGAGACGGTTGTCTGTGGCTCGATAAACTAACACAGTTTACGGGGCGAGACCGGGAGGTAACGTGAAGTTTAATAGTCGGTACTTAAACTCCAGAGTCGGGTGCCTGGAGGGGAGACAGAGAGCAGGCCATCACATAACACGACATGCGCCAGAGACAGACATGCCACGGACCGCATGCAACCTGGCAGCAAAACTTAATGATGATCAATGATTGATGATTCATATCAAGTAACGAGTTCCGCTAGCACAGGCAATAGTACGAAGTTTGCTTAGCGATTGTCACTCAATTGCTACCATTAGGCTATAGGCTGTGACATCCCCCATCTCTTAACACGTGGAAGCAACTTGTAAAAGGTAAAACTGCAGTGCTATCAGTGTTGCTGATTTGATATAATCCTTTATGCAATATAAATATCCACGTATGGTTGACTTTTATGATTGCAGAGCCACCAGTATTAGCCTAGCCTGGATGCCAGGCACACTGAGATATTTTGTGTCCAGTGTGCTTTGGGTCTATCATCCAGGCTAGTATTAGCCTGAGTGTCAGCTCGATTCTGCACGACTTGTAGTTTGTCTATTTGAGTTTGTGGTGATGATGACATAATGGCGCAGCAATACTGTAGTCAAGGTGAGATAGAACCAGGGTCTGTAGTACAGTATAGATAGTAAAGTATAAAAATCTGGTTTCTTCTCGTTTCTTGGTAAAGAGGTAAGAACTGGTATGATTTATGATAGAACTATAGAAGGTTTGCCTTAGTTCATCAGAAATATAAATTTATCTGTACAGCTTTATAGCCCTCTGCTCTATTTGCGGAGAGAATGCAGCACCCGGAGCTAACATAGGTTTGGTAACCAGGCTACCACGGGGCTGGTTGGATACAGTTACGATCTTGAGTACAGCCTCTCGCAGGTACGGCACATGTGGCGCTGTCTGCGGGTTAGATGGTCGCGGAGATAGGCGGCGGGACCGGCCGGGTTCTCACGGGTAACGCCACGCCGAACACATGGAGGAACATCGCCTGAGGGTGCAGGCAGTCAGCCTCCATTCACTCAGGTGGAACGCAAGTTGATGGCTTTTCTATTGCCTAGCCGTTCGCCTATGTCACAGGCATGTACACCTAGCCTCTACCAGGCTTCGGGAGGTGGCTGGAAAGAATTTTAATTCTTAGTTTACTGAACATACCAAGGGAGTTGGTCCGCAACAGAATACAGTTTGGGTGCGGCAAACTGTACTCTCTAGCGGACCAACTCCACCGGCATGTTATATCTCTCTATGTGGTCAAGTTTTTAAACTAAGAATTAAAATTCTTTCCAGCCACCTCCCGAAGCCTGGTAGAGGCTACAAGTAGTCAGCTGCAGCCTTCATTCGTTCAAACGCGAGTTAATGGCCTATCCGTTTGCCTATGGGCATGCACCCCTGTGGTTTTTGACAAATGTGGGGCTCCGATGTCCTAATGTCGTTGCAACTATTCATTCCTCTTGAAGCATGATGTACTCGGTGAATGTGTATCAGTGGAATATCGCAAACCAGTTTAGATCTTCTTGTAATCTTGTTGTACCAGTGTTCCAACATTTACTACCTAAACCAATCATGCTAAGGGCTGTCGATGATGACGAAG